TATATACATACATACGTACGTACGTGTGTGTGTGTGTATATATATATATATATCATACACACACATACACATTATATGTATATATACACACACACAAATTATATATATATATAGCCATATCTATCTTAAAAAAGGTGTAAATATTAATGGTAAGACAAATAGAAATTTAAAAAACAGCAGAAAAATAAGGTGATGGAGGTAATTAGGGCTGATAAAGGGTTAAATATTAACACATTTTTTTTCATGCATTGAGGAAATCACCTCTTTGATCTGCAAATGAAGGAAACGAGTAGATACAGGGAATGTCTTTGCACCTCTATTTCCAATTCCATAAACACCGCGTCAGACTGTTTTATGACAGACGCAGCTTCTAAGGCGGCGATATTTACACAGCAACTGGAATCGTGGGCCAATGCAACGTGGGGGGGAAGTTGCAGTGGACAGAAGGACAGGGCGCAGTACACATGCCCTCTGAACGTCTATGACTTATTATTTTTGAGTGTGTGTAGACATGCCCAGTGTCCAACAAAAGCCATTGGCACAAGCCACTGTGTCGTCCTCAGCAGGGGTCATCAGACTTGCTCATCCAGCCAGTGACTGAGACAGGCAGTGCTGTGAACATACTCACCTGTCACTGGCCATGTGTCACCAGAAACCGTATCACAAGTGTGACATCATCCAGAGATCAGACAATTACCTTTTATTAGCCCTTCCAAACCCTTCCTTGCCCCTTCCATTGTCAATTTCCATTTGACGGAGTTCAAAGCAAAGTCCTCCAAGTGTCCTCCTAGATGAAACTAGAATAATCTTTTGCACTGGTGACCTGTATCTTAATTTCTGTTTCCTAGGAGAAATGTTTCGGTTGTCCGACCCCACTCATGGCACCTTGCCAAGCTGTCCGAAGTCCGTCCCGATGTAGCAAGTATGCAGTATCCCACAGATGCCTTCAGTTTGTCCTGGCATTCTGGCTGTGAAGCTAGGTGAGTGTATCTTTTTGGAAACTTCATAGAGGTCATTGTAATGGGTATATTTATCTGCAAGCACATGGCCAAAAGTATGAGGACACCTCTCCAAATTATAAAAGTTCAGGTGTTTCCAGTGAACGGTACTGTTAATACGACAAGGTACAAAGATGTTTTGCACGATTGTGTTCTTCCAACCTTGAGGTAACAGTTTGGTGAAGGCCCTTTTCTGTCCCACCATGACTGTCCGCGGTGTACAAAGCCAATGCCATAAAGACATGGTTTGGCCAGCTTGGTGTGAAGGAACTCGAGTGTCCTGCACAGAGCCCTGACCTTAACCCTACTGAACACCTTTGGGATTAACTGGAACGCAGATTGCAAGCCAAGTAACCGTTTGAAGGCCCTTTTCTGTTCCACCGTGACTGTCCCCTGTGTACCAAGCCAGCTCCATAAAGACATGGTTTGACCAGTTTGTGAAGGTCACTCAAGTTTTTCCACACCAGAACCCTGACCTCAACTATGTGGAACATAGGAACACCTTATGAAATATAAGTGCATCATATGAGATATTGGGTTCAGGTGTACAAAGCCAGCTGCGTAAAGACATAGTTTGGCCAGTTTGGTGTGGAGGAACTAGAGTGTCCTGCACAGAGCCCTGACCTCAACCCTACTGAACACCTTTGGGATGAACTGGAACGCAGGTTGCAAGCCAGGTAATAGTTTGGTGAAGGTCCTTTTCTGTTCCACCGTGACTGTCCCCTTTGTTCAAAGCCAGCTCCATAAAGACCATGGTGTTACCATTTCGTGAAGGCCACTCAGGTTCCTCCACACCAGAGCTCTGACCTCAACCCTATGGAACACAGGAATAACTAATGCAATATAAGTGCATCATATATTGGTTTCAGGTGTACAAAGCCAACTCCATAAACACATGGTTTGACCACTTTGGTGTGGAAGAGCTTGGGCGGGCTGTCCAAAAGCTATGACCTCAACCCTACTGAGCACCTTTTGGGTGAATTGGAATGCTGATGGTGAGCCAGGTCTTCTCATCCAAAATCAGTACCTGACCTCACAAATGGACACAAATTTTTACTCGGAACAAATTGTGTAAATCCTTCTCAGAAGAGTGAGGCTGCTGCATCCACCAAGTAGGGCAACTCCATATTAATGGTCATGGTTTTGGAATACAATGTCCAGCAAGCCTAATAGGTTGCCCACCAACTTTTGGCCATATTGCGTATCCGGGTTATACAAAAGAATTCTGTTTCTTTTCAAAATTTGTTTCAAATTTTCTTGTGGATCACTATGTTCTTTTACCATTTTGGCTAACAAATAACATATGTATGATTTATGAAGCCATCTAATGTTGCTTTCTCTTGCTTTGCAGTGAACTTCCTATGCAGTGGAATCCTTTGTCAAGACACTGCAGCACGGACAAAAGCAGCTCCATCGGTAGCATGGAAAGTCTTGACCAGCCAGGACACAATTATTATGAAGGAACGCTTTCCCCGATTGACCCAGGCATGTACCAGAACAAAAGGGACTCTGCATATAGCTCTTTTTCTGCAAGCTCAAACACTTCTGATTACACAGTGTCTGCTAGAACAGAAGAGTCCTCACCAATTAACTGTGTGCTCAGGTCAACTAAGCAGGAAGATGGCCGATATCTCCAGACAGGACAGAGCTCTCTCGACCCACGGGATGATTTGCCGAGCCAAACATTAGGCGAGCATCCTCAACACCCTTCCTCGCTCTCTTACGACTCAAACCATTTGGACATCATCAAATCGCCCCCGCAACCACCTGTGCGGAGAGATAGCTTACGGGCTTCTAAAAACCCATTGTGCCACAGTGAGAAAAGGAGAGCCTCTGCTCCAGGGGAGACCTTTTATATTCCCGGAAAGTGGTCCAAAGACTTCCACCAGCTTAACGGCTCTAGCTGTGGCCAGTGCCAGCGTGCCAAAGATTTCTGTGCGCTACACCAAAAGGAGAACTTGTCTTCAGATCAGTATTACATGTTGAGTTCACAGGCCGATTGCGTTCTGCCGAACAGTGTCCAGCCTCCCGTCGGCGACACGGGGGGAAAAAATAATTGCACTGAACCGAGGAATGGGTGCTCTAACGACGGGGGTGTTGAAAGTAACGAGGTTGTTGCCTGTTACACGGTTCAAAAAATCAGGGAGGCCTTTCTTAAAAACTCATCTTGTGACCTTAGCAAGCCTGAAGGTCAACGTTCTTCTCAAAGAGAAGGCTCCAGCGCGCAGACAGTTTTTAGGAACGATGCAAAAATGGCTGCATCCAACTACTGTTATGACGCAGACCATTGCAATGGAGAGACTGGGATGGATAAAAAGTGCAATCGTAGTAGTTTTGAAGGCCCTGAGGCCCCTACGCACCCAGAAACTGATAACCGCGACTTGAAAGCGCACCGTGGACTTTCGTTTGATAGGTCAGGTGGCGACTCAAAAGAAGATCCATCCTTCCAACCAAGCGGTTCAACGGGAGGGCGGAGATCGTCCTGTAGTACCAACCCGCTTGTGGAAGCTGATTGCGGGCAAGTCGAAAACGCAGCTCCGACCAAAAAACCCGGCTCATCGCGCCATCGCTCGGCCCAGATGCGAAGAAGAAGCGACCGGTTTGCCACCAACTTGAGAAACGAGATACAGAATCGCAAAGCTCAGCTGCAAAAGAGCAAAGGCTCTTCAGTTCTTTGTGATGAGCCTGTTGAGGAAAGAGATGAGCCAGCCGAGGGTCCGCCTCGACCAGCTCCTCCACCTCCACCCCCGAAAAACAAAGCACGTCTGGTAGAAATCAAAAAGGCCAACGCCGAACTGTTTGGCCATTCTGACTCTTCAAGCAAAGAAAGGAACGAAAGCCATGGCTTTGACAAAAACAAATCGTATAATTGCACGAGGGAAGGTATGGAGACACCTACGACTGAGACTGTTCCTCCTGAGGATGAAGAAGTGTGCGTTGCCTTCAGAAACAAAGTCTCCAATGACTGGTGGAAGAATAGCTCCTCGTGTGTTCCTCACCAGGAGTCACCAGGATATGAGGAAAGCTACGTGGCCAGTCAACAACCAATTGACCATTCCTTGGAGCAGTTTAATGGGGTGCCATCAAATGCGTCTCTCAAATCTGACAGCTGCAGAGATGATTGGAGGAGAAATCCATCTAGCAAGCCTACCAGCCCAGAAGCATGGGATAGAGAGAAGGGAAATATTGTTGACCGATCAAAATGCAACGAAGAACCCAGGGATTCGTCCGTCCATGAGACCAATCATTTAAAGAAATTATGGAGGGCAGCCTCAAATCAGAACCTAGGTCACGGTGAACCACCGGAGGAGGCTTTTGCAAAAACCAGGCCGGAGGATACAAACTCTTCTAAGAACCACAACTCTTTTGGTCCTCGAGCTAATGCAAACAGTACACATCATGGAAAAGAACACCTCAGTGGAGAGAGGTATGGTGGTGACCAAAGAACGGTGAATTACCTAGAGGATATAGGCCTAGAGCAGAAGACTCGGGAATTAAGGCTTCACGACTTGGAAAAATCAGATGCTACTCCGTCCAAGGCCTCCCATCAGCCTTCTGGTTTTGAAGAGCAGGTATCTCACCATAAACCTCATGGTGCTAGATGGACATTGTCCCCGGATAGCAAACCTCAGCCCTATCCTCATTGCCGAAAAGAGAGCCCTCCAGAGGTCGCAGACGTGAACGTAGAAGAGGTGGTTCCACCCATCACTCGGGTGACCGAGGCAAACGTCCTCCTACCTTTTGCGGATCGAAGGAGGTTCTTTGAAGATAGCAGCAAGGGACCTCCGCCGCCCAACTTCTCCATGCATATGAAGGCAAATAAAAATGGCTTTTGCGCGAGTCTTTCGGACTACTCTTTCCCTCAGGCTGTGGCTCCGGATCTAAGGAGGCATTCTGTGGATCATACATGCCATTCGCTGTCGCCTGGTAGGCAGGAGAGTAGCTTGGCGTGTTCCGAGTTCTGCATGAACCATGCGGTGGAGCCGCCTCTCTGCTGCAATCCAAACGGTCACTTGGCGGACTACCTGCACTCGGTGTCCTGCGGATATCGGTCATGCGTGTTCTGCCCCAACGATGTGTGTCCAGCTTTGCTGAAAAGGAACATGTCCATGACCCACCACAGCTGTCACTGTCAACACCACCATCACCACCATCGTCAGTGGACGAGATGCAGCGAGTGCTTGTGTCCTAGCCAACACCCTTCATTGGAGGAAGGCGCGGCCATACACGGTGACCCATGGCACTTGAGGAATTCCAGGTTACAGGTGAGAAATTTGCTATGGAGTCACTTTTTTGGAAGGTGTATGTCCAGCCAGGACCTGGATTGAGCGGGGATGGATTACAACCTCTGTCAGATTTCTACTGCTTTACTGTAGTTGCCCGATTTTATTTTTTCATCTAATCGTTTGGATGCATTAGAGAAACAATCTCTTTCTCTTCC